GACAATATCTTGGGTTTGGGTTTGAGTTTGTCGTGAAAGTGTGGATCAGTGACCGTCGATGACTTGTCCAGTGACCACAAACACCTGGGCTTCGCATTCGGGTCTTCAAACTGTTTGCTCATGTCTTGTCTGAAGTGGTGTTGCGGTTGTTGTCTGTGTTTTGGTCGCCAAACAAACCTGACTTACGATCACTTGAATGCTGTGAAGACTGCTATCAAATGATAAGGTGTTATAAAAAGGCACTCAAATGTGAATCCAATTAGTGGTGTTGCGGTTGTTGTCTGTGTTTTGGTCACCAAATAAACCTCACTTACGATCACTTGAATGCTGTGAAGACTGCTATCAAATGATAAGGTGTTATAAAAAGGCACTCAAATGTGAATCCAATTACAAAATTAATATTAATATCACAAGTGATTAGTGTTTGAGATTATATTCAATACAATCGTCGATATTATGGCATAAAATGTGTGATAAAAACAACTCATTTATTAACTATCGGTTTGTTATGGCATTCAATACAACACTACTTATATTGAACTTACTTTCAAACACACTCTCTCTCTCTCACACAATGCAAACCATATCTCTGCTAAAACTTATGGGAAATTATTTTTGATATTCATATGAATTGTAATATTTTTAATGATAATTAAATATTATCTATTTTTTAAATGATTATTCAGTTTTTAATGTAATTGTTTGTTGTTTTTTATGGCCTGATATTATCCCATAAAACACTGATATTATGGGCAGACTTGTTGTCTGTAATGCCTTGTAGTCAAGTAATGATTAGGAATTTCCTAATTTATATAACTTTATCACATGTTTTCTCTATTAATTCATGGTTTCTAACTATAAATGAGTAGTTTTTATACTTTTAATTTACAAAATAAAATTTGAAAATTAATTAATAGAATTAAAATAATTTTAAAAACATATTAATTGTGATTAGAAACCGACGACTGAATGAATAGTAATATTTTTGACAATTCATCATATCTTGCAATAAAATCACTTTAAATGACATCATTTTAAGTAATATCTAAAATATATTAAATAGTAAGAATAAAATCAATGTAACGAATAAATATATTTTCAATAAAAACAACATACAGTACAGTATTTACTAATTAATTAATTAATTGTTTAAAAATTAATGTTAACATTAACAATCTTTATAATTAATAAGTAATGGTATTTATTTAAAGCACAGAATTTGCACATAAATAGGAAAATATTCCATGCCTTTAGTTGGAACCTTGTAACAAATCCACAGGATATTAAATATAAACCTAGATTATTCACTATATGTGTCTATCAACTTCTACATTTACAAACAGCTACTTTATAGTAATTATCATAATTTATCATTCTTACAGATTTTCTATCATTTTAATTAGAATTAACAATAACCATGTTTTATCTTGAAAGCAATAAATTAACAAATATTGTAGTTAATAAACATGGTTAACAAATAAATATATCATAAATTTAAAAGAATTATTTATTGTAACAATGATTATCATTGATATCAATATTGTATAGATTTTGTTCCCAATTATTCTCCTCAACATTTGTAGCAAAGTTTCTCTCATTCATCCAATTGTCATCCATAAACTTTGTCATATAATTGCGAACTCCATCCGGAAGTATGACAACACATCTCTGGTCTTCCCGAAGGTCTTTTGCCGCCTTCAGTGCGGCCACGACTGCACTGCCCGATGAACCGCCACAGAGAAGACCTTCCTTTGCGATGAGCTTTCGAGCCATTTCTAGCGATGACTTGTCTTCAGATTTATACCACTTGTCGACAACACTTTGATCAAAAACAGTGGAAATAAAATCACGTTTTCCATAGCCTTCCACTTCCCAGAAAGTTGTGTCCGATTTATTCAAGTCCTCCGGTTGTGCGAGTATTGATCCGAACGGATCCACACCAATCACCTTACAATCGGGCAGCACTTCCTTGAACTTACGTCCAATACCAGTAACTGTACCGCCAGTGCCCGCATTGACTACAACCATATCTACCTTATAGTCTGTCTGTTGGAGTATCTCTTGAGCGGTGTTGTCGTAATGAGCCATTGGATTATTAACATTGCGGTATTGATTTAAAATTACAGAGTTTTCAATCTGTTGGCAGAGTTTTTGAGCTACTTTTACGTTACTCTCAGGGGAGACATAACTGGCCGAAGTCGGTGTGCGGATAATCTTAGCGCCCAAAGCGTGCAATACTTTCTCTTTCTCCTTAGAGTTCTTGTCTGCCATAACACAAATACATTTGTATCCTTTAACCGCTGCCGCCATCGCTAACCCGATACCAGTGTTACCACTCGTGTGCTCAATGATAGTGAATCCCTCTCGAAGTATACCATCGCGTTCGGCGTCGCAGACCATCTTAAGGGCGATCCTATCCTTAATACTTCCGCCGGCGTTAAAGTACTCGCATTTAACCAACACTTCACACCGAATGCCATACTCTTTGGGAATCTTGTTTAGCCTCACGAGTGGAGTGTCTCCGATCTGTTCCAATATATTGGACAATATCTTAGGCTTAGCTGTAAGTGTGTCGTGAAAGTGTGGGTCAGTGGCCGTCGACGACTTGTCCAGTGACCAGAGACAGCGCGGTTTAGCGTTCGGGTCTTCAAACTGTTTACTCATGTTTTACAATATCTTTACTTATAATTCAGATCTGGTTAACAGTTGTTAGAACTTGAGTACAACTTAATAAAACTTTGCTATTATTTTTACTATTTATTCTTTTATATATGTTTTAGATTCTACTAATACTTCTGTATTCCTAACCTTTTGTTTAATATAATTGTTAATATAACTCAATTGGTTATGGACTTATTGGTGTTCATGTGGTTGGTCTCTCCCTCTATAATAACTTACGTAAAACAATACAAAATCCCTCTCAAAGTGCGGTACAAAAACAGAAGGGTGGGCCCAGCAAATG